TAAGTTACAAAGATAACCAACAGATGAGAGAACAAGTGTTTGAAATCTTTTGTCTGTTTATGGACTATATCACCATCTCTTTTGTTGTGTGTTCCTGTCCTTTTAGTTCCTTTCTGACATTCTGACAGGATAATGAGAGGCTGTAAACCTATGCTGTCACTCAGTCTACCCTCTGAGCCTTTTGTACGCTATTTACAAAACTCCAAAATCATCTTTCATACACAAGATTCTGGATCTCATGTCAACTGTTGAATTAACATTGGAAACTTTCCCTGATGTTGTTGCCAATAGTTTAATTTTAATAAAGTTTCCACCTTTGTCTATATATCAGTATGGGTATTTTTATATATGTATTCCTGTAAAACTTGCTTTGCAAAATCACATAATAAGTATCAGGGCTCTGATAAAATATCATTAGCAGAAGCTCATTCAAAAATCTATGCAGATTCGTAATCAGAGCACTAATAAAAACAGTAAGAATCTTGATTAAAAAATACTAGCACAGTTAAAAAGATAGGCTAAATTCCTATAAACACCATTTTATAGCATATATGAGAACAGAAGAATTGAAGGTAGCTCACTGGAAGGGGTGTAAAGAAGTGTTGAGGCTGTTTAGTTATGGAGGCCAAAAGCCAAAATGTACTGAAGATCATGTAGAGCCAAACAGGAAGCTCTTCCAAGACAAGACACATGGCCAAGCAGAGCCAAGGAGAACGGGATGCCTGGATGCCACGTACAGGGCTCAGCTCCTCTTGTGGGTTTCATTTTTCAGTTTGTTCTTTAGTTCAAGATTCTCTGCTGGTACTTGGTGGCACAAAGTGTTAAAATAAAGAGGGAAAAAATTAACAAATGAATAGATATGAACTTATTGAAATTATTGAAATTATTCCCAAATATGTGTGAGTTAATAAACTAGAGTTTTAGCAGAACATAGTCTATTTAAATATTTTAATGTACTTTGTCTTTATTATTATTAGGAAAATGATTGGAAAGGAGATAATAAAATGCTGATTTCTGGGAATGTGAGTCTTAAATTACATATTTGTTTATTCAGATTTTACGCATTGGGTTTTCAGGAAAATGAATTAAAAACATGCAATGAGCCTGGCCGGTGTGGTTTAGTGGTTGAGCGTCAACCCATGCACCAAGAGGTCACAGGTTTGATTCCTGGTCAGGGCACATGCCCAGGTTGTGGGCCGAGTACCCAGTGGGAGGCATGCAGGAGGCGGCCAGTTGGTGTTCTCTCTCATTGATGTTTCTATTTCTCTCTCCCTCTCCCTTCCTCTCTTTCTAAAAATCAATAAAGAAAAAATATTTTTTAAAAAAACCATGCATTGATGTGCTGGCTGGTTTGGCTCAGTGGTTAAACTGTTGGCCCATGGACTAAAGGATTGAGGGTTAAATTCCTGATCAAGGGCAGTTCTATCCCCGTCAGTGGGGTCGTGTGGGAGGCCTCTCTCACATTGATGTTTCTCTCTCTTTTCCTTCCTCCCTCCCTTCCACTCTGTCTAAAAATCAATGAAAAAATATCCTTGAGTGAGGATTAACAACAATAACAAAAAAATACACTGATAATATTATTTCTTATATCAAGAGTTCTTGTAAAAAATAACATATATATATATAGTACTAAATACACTATTTTAAACAAAATTTCTAATGGTGGTTGTTTTCTACCATTAAAACACAGTTTTGTGATTAACTCAAACCTGGGACTGAAAACTCTTTAAGATCAACACAGAATCATTTATGAGTAGATATTTTAAATATATTTTAACAGGACACAAAACAAGTTGAGAGTTATAATTTATTGAATGTATATAGTAAGTAGAAAAATAGGCTCCATTATGCATTTGAATTCAATTAAATTCAATATTTAAAGGATCACAGACTATATTAAAATATTAAATTATTTTGCTTTCCAAATCTGTCCTCTTTTCCCCAAGAGATAATTATATTTTAATGAGTTTTTAAATACATAGAAAATTGATGGTTGATAAAGTTTTGTGTTTTTCTCCTAGCTAAGTTGAAATCAGAAGCCTGTTCTCTCTTAGAAACTCTATTAAAAACAAAAAGATAATTTTTCTTACTTGAAGACCAGTTTTCAAATGTCAAATTGTCATTTTTCAAGAAGTTGCTATATGTTATGCAGTCTTGATATGAAATAACCCTTGTTTTTATGGCTTTAGAAAATGTTTTGCAAAGCCTTCTGGGTTGACATTTTTAAATCACCATGTAAATCTGCCTGATAAGTGTTTAGATTCTTTGTGGTAATGTGAGATATGAATAAATGTTCTGTCTATAGCTTTTTCAACACCTGGTTCTAGTTGCTTGCTGTTTTAGTTGATACAAACTGAGAAGCTTTCTCAAGTCATTAATCTCATGACAGCATTTTTGGCAGTCAGTTGATTTTGAGTTGTTTTGTGTAAGGTTGTGATTAAGTTTAAAAGTTTGAAAATGTTAACTAGCCTACATTTTAAAACATTTGTGTGCTGTACTCTTTTACTAGATTCTGATTAGCATGTTAAGGATTTTTACCAAAAAATTCTGCTTTCCTGACATATCTTATGAAGTGTTACTGACTTGTTTGTGTAAGAAAAGGATATACAGAAGGGAACAGAATAGAGCAGCAAGGTGAATAATTGCTAAATTCACAATGTAGTGTTCTATTGGCATTTTGTTTATGAAATATACCCATGTGTTCCTTTGAATCACATACCTTATGTAAATAAGGTTGCTGGGTCTGAGTCTGAGTTAGGAATTGCTAACTGAAAAAATAGTTCAACCATGTTTTTGAATCGAAGACACTCTTATTTTTAACTTGAACATAGGATTATGACAATAGAAATCCAAACAGAACTTGTTTGTTTCTGAGATCATTTCCATTTCTTGCAGTTTCTCTGAAAGACAGTCATATTATGAATCGTTTGTATGTATTTTGAGCCTAATTCCTGCTCCTGATGTTGAGGATATAGCATTGGAGAGGTAGGCAGTTTCGTATCACATGGAGCCATTCATACTTTCAAGACATTTTATATTTTTCCTTTGTGGTACTTATCACAATAATGATTAAGTACTTATTTTTATAATTATTTTATGAATCTCTCTCTTGATAGGCAAAACACTATGTATCAGGAACCACATTGCCATCACCCGTGGTACAGTATATAAACAAATAATTGGATCTCACCATGATCTTAAATTTGAACTCATTTTGTGTGAAAATTATACCTTAATAAGCCTGATTCAAAACCAGAGTTCATAATGCTCTTCTCTATTAGTAATTAAGCAAGCAAATCGTTAGCCTGCTGCTTTGAGAATCAGGAATGGACTCATACTCTACTAGAAACCAAAGAATAAGTGGGACTCAGTTCCCTATTTGTCATTCCTACTTTGGGGATGGGGAACCTTCTTTCTGCCAAGGGCCATTTTGATATTTAAAACATCATTCTCGGGTTATACAAAATTATGCCCTGACCGGTTTGGCTCAGCAGTTGGAGCATCGGCCTGCGGACCAGAGAGTCCTGAGTTCGGTTCCCACAAGGGGCACGTACCAAAAACAAAATAAAAAATTATCAATTTAAAAATGAGCCTGCTATATTTGGTCAGGCTAATTTGGTGAGGTGTGTGATGTTAGCTGGTATTGACTTTGTGGGCCATGTACAGCCCGAGGGCCAGACATTTCCCACCCCTGCTGGATGCTCAGCCTGATAAACTGGTAAGAAGGAGCTTCAAAATTCTTAACTTCTCAGAAAATGTAATGAAAAGAAGAAATATGTCTCAGGCTGTTAAGTTTCTACTTTATTTTTGTGTGTATTATGAGTAGCAAAAGCCATTTATTAAGCGATCTCTGTCATTTAGCACTGTGTAAGGCACCGAACTCACAGTGCCTTGAGTGGAGCTAAGTGATGCAGCACATGCCTTGTTTGCAATGTCATAGAGTTGCTATGACAATCAGAAGAGAGCATGGTTGTACTGTGTAAACTGTAAAGTGCTAAATCAAGACAGGTGGTTTCATTGCCAAGTATTAACAAACCTCGATATAACAAGCAAACTTGGATTTTGGGCATAGAAGAGCAACCCACAAATATGGCCTGGGTAAGATGTACAGGAGAGATTTACTTGATTTGCATCCATGTTTGGCCCCATTGCCTTCTTCTTGCCCAACAGAGGGAATGTGTGGTGTTCAGGAGTTTTGTAGATAGGACTGATAAATAACAGGCATTACATTTGATGGATTGGAGAGTGGAAAGTGACTCAGTGGAAGGACTGCTTTAGGCAAAAGAGGAATTTAGAGGCTCTGAAGGAGAGACTCTTCAACAGGTGTTTTGTTGTTTGTTTTTGTTTTTGTACAAGCTCTAGTTTTTTATGATGTGGATTTTCATGTTCCAAATCTAGGTGATCACTGTAGCAAACGTGTTATGTCACCCATACTAAACTCTTTCTACTGATATCTTACCTTTCAGGGTTTTTACCACCCTGGTTTTCCATACATTTTCGTTTTATGTAACAGCCAGCTTTTGTTGTTTTACTGTCGTGAACCCACTGAAACCATTGATAAAGTTTTAGGTATAGTCATAACAGATTTCTCCTTTTATTTTATATACATACACACATAATTAGAAATTTTGCCTTTTGGCCTCTTAGGTTGCTAAATCATGTGTCTTGGAGAGATACTCCATGTTGAGCTCAACAATTGATTTGTGTGACTTTATTTGAGAACTTATTTATGGAGAATTACAGAATTAGAAAATGAATTCTACTATCAGTCCAGATCACTTATCATCTGTTTCCTCACTTCACTTGCAAAATGCAGGTAATAATTTCAATTTCACTGTTGTCACCATGTTGTTATAAGAAGCACTAAGCTTAGCAAAGCTTTCAGTCAACTCTGAAGTTCTGTGCCAGTATAAGGCAGTTAATATTATTCATGGCATTCTTCTCATTATTTTTACCACTCCCAGAAGAGGGTTCACTGATAAATTACTATGTTTCTCCAGGGCGAGTCACTCCGGCGCAGCTCACATCCTATATTCAGCTCTTCAAGAACAACCTCAAAGCTCTAGTGAATCACTGTGGCCTCCTGCAACTTGGGCTGGCCACTGTTCAAACTCTGAAACACCCACAGACTGCCAAATGGGACAACTTCCTGGCTTTCGAAAGGCTCCTTCTCCAGGTATGTTGCCATGAGAGCTTCTTGAGATATTAATAATTAACATTTTCAATTCTAGAGAAAAACATTGATATTTATTATAGTCTCAGTAATAAATTACATTGTTGACATATGCCCTATATCATATTCTCCTTATAACCCCAAATTAAAATTTAAATAGAAACTTTTTCCATACTTTTTTTTATTTTAAATTTTGACAATGATATCTTTGGCTTCTCACTCAATACTAATAATGTTTTTTGGGCATTTGACTAACCTTTGAAAACCTCTTTTCAATTTTATGCCATTTGGACCTTTCTTGGTCTTCATGGCATCCAGTTCTTAGTACTTTTCCTGTGGAAGAATATGTGACTTAAAATGGTGCTTAGTAAAAACTGAATGGAGGCAAACTCTATTTGTAGTTTTATGAAGAAATTTGTATGTGGGGTAGGACCTTTTCATGATTGATGAGATATTTTCGTGGAAAACTTTTGTGAAAAGATGTATTTTTTTAAATTGTAAAGTATTTCAAACTTACATAAAACAACATGACAAATATCTATGTATTCTCCATGTAAACTCAATATAATTAACTAGTTTCTAGTATTCTATATCCTTTTTCATTAGATAAATAAAACTAGAGATAAATAAAGTTGAAGAATCTCTGATACTATACCATGCCTGGCATCCTCTGGCTGTCCTTTTTCTTTCCCCAGAGGTAATCACTAGTTGGGTCACTTTTTTTTTTTCTTTTATCAAATATTTATTTTTTCATAAATAATACAGATTATTGTTATGGGTTTTACTTTTTATGTAAATGATGTCACATTATCAATATCCTTAAACAACCTGCTTTTTCAACATTCTATTTTTAAGATAATACAAAATAACATGTGTAGATCTAGTTCATTCGTTTAAACTATACCATACTATTTTTTTTTATTAATTATTTTTTTTACAGATGTTTCTCCTTTCCCCCCACTGATTCCCCCCTCCCTCACCCTCCCTGCCCTTTCCCCAGTTTGTTGTCCATGTCCACTGTTCATGCAAACATGCATATAAGTTCTGTGGTTTATCTCTCCCCCACCACCCCCTCTTCTGAGGATTGTCAGTCTGTATCCCACTTCCACGTCTCTGGGACTACCCCATTCCTCAGACTGCTATGTTCATTATATTCCACAAATAAGTGAGATCATATGATACTTGTCTTTCTCTGTTTGGCTTATTTCACTTAGGATGATACTTTCCAGGTCCCTCCATGTCGTCTCAAAGGATAAGAGATCTTTCTTTCTTACAGCTGCATAGTACTCCATTGTGTATATGTACCACAGCTTTTTTATCCATTCGTCTACTGATGGACACTTGGGCTGTTTCCAGATCTTAGCTATTGTAAATAGTGCTGCTATAAACATGGGGGTACATATATTCTTTCCGATTGGTGTTTCAGGCTTCTTAGGATATATTCCTCGAAGTGGGATCACTGGGTCAAATGGAAGTTCAATTTTTAATTTTTTGAGGTAACACCATATTGTTTTCCATAGTGGCTACACCAGTCTTCATTCTCACAAGCAGTGCACTAGAGTCCCCTTTTCTCCACACCCTCGCCAACACTTGTTGTTTGATGATTTGTTGATGGCGGCCATTCTGACAGGTGTGAGGTGATACCTCATTGTTGTTTTAATTTGCATCTCTCTGATGATTAGTGATGGTGAGCATTTCTTCATATGTCTCTTAGCCATTTGTATGTCCTGTTTGGAGAGGTGTCTATTTAGTTCCTCTGCCCATTTTTTAATTGGGTTCTTTGTCTTCCTTTTGTGGAGTTGTATGAGCACTCCTTATGTATTGGAAATTAACCCCTTATTTGATATATCATTTGCAATTATGCTCTCCCATACAGTGGGTAGCCTTTCCGTATACCATACTATTTGATTGTATAGATATACAAGAGTTTATCCAATCCATATTGATGTATAGTTAGGCTGTTCCATATTTGTGTGTGTGTGTGTGTGTGTGTGTGTGTATGTGTGTGTGTGTGTGTGTGTGTTTAGAAGGAATGTGATGAATATTCTGGAATAGGCCTTTGGATACACCTGTGAAGGAGTTGTCTAGGATATATTCCTTATAAGAATTGTTAGATTGTTGACCATGCATGTTGTTGAGTTTACTGAATATCACCAAACAGATCACCAACGAAGTTGAAATAGTTGACCCTTCTGCTAGGAATGGATGACAGTTTATTTCCCAGCATAGTGTCCAGCACTCAGGGTTATCAAGCTTAAACATTTTTTTAGTGGGTCAATATTATTTCTTTATATAAATTTATGATTCTCTGACTACTATGAAGTTGAGCATCTTTTATAATATTTATTGGCTATTCAATGTTTTCCTTCTATCAATTACTAATTCTTATACTTTGCCCAAGTTTCTTTTTGAGTAACAACACTGTTTTACATCATGCAGATACTTCTCCCAGACTATGATTTGCTTTTAACTTGAATTCCTGTATATTTTATTGCATAAAAGTTTTAAATTTTTGTGTAGTTTAATTAATATTTTCCTTTATGGTTTGTGCTTATTTATATTTTATATTAGAAATCCTTTTTTTTACCCCAATTTCTAAATATATTGTTTCTACTAAAAATTGATGCTTATTTCTGACATTTGAATTTTTAATCTACCTGGAACTCATATTTGTTTATGATATTATTAGGATCTGATTTTTTTTCCTTCATATGGATAGCCTGTTTTCCCTGCACCGTTTATGAAATATTACATTGTACTGTAGATTATTTATCCAACAGTCATTTTTCCCTTTTTTAAGTAGGCAGAACACCAGTTTTGTTTCATGTCTACTCTTTTCCCACATGGTTTAGGCAAATCCTGAGTGATCTTAGACTATATCGGTAATCTCATTTCCCTACTCAATGATTGGTTTAGCAGGTCTAGCCAAAGATAGGTAAAGGAAAGTTTGCTGAAGGTGATTCTAGGAAAGATTTTCTTCTGCCTTCATAGAAAGATACATAATGAAGAAACAAGTTTAAAGCCTCTTAATGTAAGTATGTGACACTTTGAGTATTTTGTGATAATTAAGACAGCTCACTGATATCCTGAGGAAGACAGAACAGAACCTGAATCCTTAATGATGACTTTGCCTTACCTCAAAGTATTTGGTTCTGTGAGATGATAATTCTTCTCATTGTTTAAGTCATTTTAACAGTTTGTTTTTAGTTATTTGCAGCCAAAAAATATTCACTGGTATGTAATATACTAAGTTCTCAAAGGTGGGTTTATTTATCAGTTTCTAGTATTCCAGTGTTCATTTTATTTTCATTTATGTTCATTTTATTACAGAAGTAATAGCACAGCATTTTAAAACCAATATGTCCATTTTATGCATTTTTCTATAAAAGAGCATTATTAGATTTATTCTTGGGTATCTTAAAGATTTTGATGCCATTGTGAATTGAATTTTTAAAATTTTCTAATACTTTAATTTTGGTGTGTAAAAATACTTCTTTTTTTTTTACTTTAAACAATTTTTTATTTCTTAATTACAGTTGACATAAAATATTATATTAATTTCAGGTATACAACCCAGTGATTAGACATTATATAACTTACTAAGTAATCATCCCAATAAATCTGATACCATATATAATTATTACAATATTATTGACTATATATTCCCTGTGTTGTACTTTACATACCCATGACTGTTCTGTAACTACCAATTTGTATTTCTTTTTTTTTAAATTGATTTTTAGAGAGAAAGAAAGGGAGAGAGAGAAACATCAATGCGAGAGAGAGACATCAGTTGGTTGCCTCTCGTATATGGGTATTGAATCCATAACCTAGGTATGTGGCCTGGCTGGGAATCAAACCCACAACCTTTTGGTGTATGGGACAATGCTCCAACCAACTTAGCCTCTCAGCCAGGACTTACTTCAACAGGATTCTGGTGCCTGCTGAGTTTGCCCCATGAGTATGTCGGGTGTGGGGGTGGTTGGGTGGTACTTTGACATTGTCTGAAGTGGTCCACTGGGTGTGCTGGTCTGGAGCCTCCCAGGAGGTGCAGGGCAAGGTCAGCTACCACCTGTGCCCTTCCTAGGGCCACTTGGCATGAGCTAAAAGCCATCTCCTGATGGCTGCTACTTGTGCTGGGCTTGGAGGTGCCCAGGAGAGGCCAAGCTGTGAACCAAGGCCAGCTGCTGCTACTGCTGGGCCTGGGGCCACTTAACAAGTCATACAGGGCATACTGAGGCCAGATGCTGCTGTTTGAAAAGTCTGAAGCATGAATGAGCCAGGACAGGCCATTTGTATGGAAAAGCCACTGGTTGTGTAGGACTGGGTCTCAGGGAATCACCAAGGCAAGGCAAACAGTGCTAGCCAAGTTGATGTAGACTCAGATATGGTGCCCACCTGCTGGCTCTGTGGGGGAGGACTCAGAAAAGAACAATGGCCTCTGCCAGCACTTCTGTTTGGGGGAAAGCTGCCCCTCCAGCTCTCTCCCTGATGCCAGACAATTCAGTTCCTCCTGGTATGTCCCTGGTGCCTTTTGAGCTGCTGTCCCAGCACTGGAGGTCATAGTGAGTGAGTTTGTGCATGGGTCACTAAAGAATGGCTGGGACTCCACCAGCTCTTCCTCGCACTCAGCCACAATCTGAGCTGGTTTTTACAGCCAAAAGTTATGGGGACTTTTCTTCCTGAAACTGGAACCCTGAGCTGAAGGGCCTGCTGTGGGGCTCCTCAGGGTGGACCTCTGCAGTTGAGATATCACTCCCCATTTTTTTTTTTATCCTCATGGGGGGACACTTTTACATTTATCTTCAGACAGTAAGAGGGAGAGAGGTAGGAAGAGAGAGGGAGAGAAACATCGATGTGAGAGAGACATATCGAGTGGCTGCCAACCACATGACCCCAACCGGGGCCAGGGACAAACAGCAACCAAGGTACGTGCCCTTAGCGGGAACTGAACCTGGGTCTCTATGGTCCGCGGGCTGACGCTCTAACCGCTGCACCAAATC